CATGCATTTAAAATCTAACATCTAGAACTTGAAATCTAATGAAAGAAATTTATAAAAGCAAAATATGAACTGGATTTCAAAACACAAAAATAGAAAACACTTAGAATTTAATACAAGTGAACCCCAATCTAAAGTAGTAAAAACATCACATGTAAATGTGCATGAGATTAAAATGTTCCTAAGCTAAGTGCAAGGAATTTAAGTGCAATTGAATGTAAAAACATCAATTTGAACTGGATCTAAGTACATCATATTGAAAATGCATGAATTAAATGCAAGGAAATTGAAGAACACATAAAATCAAAACTAAATCTAGTGCAAGAAATACAAATTTCTAGAATTTAAACCCTAGACCTACACTTATAGAAAACAAATGAACTTTAATCAAACTAAAAGAACATAAATCAACAAGTAAACTTTAAATGCAATAAAAGAAGCTAGCTCAAACAATGAATTAAAAAGCTCAATGAACTAGTAACAAAATTAAGTACAAAAATAGAGAAAACATAACATAAAGGAAAAAAAAGCCAAACAGCCATAAAAAAATCAATTAAATTGCAAGGAATTAAAAAACATGAAGTAAACAAGTAAAGGAACAACTATAAATCAAGAAAAAAATGGATCGATTGCCTAGCAAAAAGAGAAATCACTACAAATGCTGTCACCACCTGTTACTGCTAGATTACTAACCCAAAATTTCAAGATTTTTAGAAAAAATTTAGATTGAACTTGACAACAAAATTTTTTAGATCTAAAGTCGTATGAAATGAAAGTATTCAAAAAAAATTTGAAGTAAGAAAAGTAATAATTGAAGGAAAAAAGCTATGAAAACCAAATAATGTTTAAAACAAAATTTGCCAAACAACATTGAGATTGTAAAGGAAAAGAATGTGAAAGTTCAAGAAATCTTAAAGAAAATTAAAATGTATTGCAAGAATCTTAAAGTGCATGAAATTTAAGTGCAGAAAAGTAAATTTTGCAAAAAATATTAAAGGATTTTCTCTCCTTATAGCCCTCTAAATGCAAAGGGGGAAACTGCCTAGAGAGAAAAAATGTAAAAAATATAAAGTGCAAAAAATGTAAATCTGGCTAACTCTTTAAAACTCTCCCTCTTTGGCCGGTTCCTCTTTTATTAATAGGCAAGGAATGATGTGTTTAAATCAATCAAATTATAGAAAAATGCCACATAGGCTACCCACTAAGTTAGATATTTCAATGTCATTAAGATTCCTTCATAAGCTTCCTCATTTGCTCTCTTCTCTTCACTTATCTTCAAGCTTTCCTCCTTTGATCATTTGAGCTCCAAAATATAGCATTATAGCCAAAGGGAAACCTCCTTATTACCATATAAGTAGCTACTATTGGTCTCTCTAATTGAATCACGAAAATGGCACCAACTTTTCTTTATCATCAAGGATTGCATCCAATGGTTAAGCTTGGTTCCTTCCTTTCATTTAGGCCTAAATTGTTGTGGTTTCTCCTCTTTAAAATTCATCCAATAAATAGCCACACAAATGCCAAATAAGGCATGAACAATTTCAAAAAAATTTTGCTCCTAAAATTAGCTATAAATCCACTATAAACACTAATAGCACTTTTCCCTCTTTTAGATTATGTATGCTTACTATAAATGTGACCATTACTTCCATAAGCTAAAAGGGATTAAAAATCATGAAAATAATAAAAACTTCAAGCTTGAAATAGAGTTTCAATCTTAATCATGCAAAAGGGAGTGAAGAAGAAAAGTAAGAAATTTTTCTCTAAAATGGCAAGCGAACATGGTTAGGACACTAGGTTGGCCTTTGAGTGACTTTTCCACCAAAATGCATCCAAAAGACTCCAATTCATGGGTTTTCCTATTTTTTCATGATTTTACCTACACATAGAACAATTGTGCCTTTAGGAGTATTTTTGCCTAATTTTTTTAAGGATAAAATGTTAAATCACTATAAAAAAGTTGTAGAAAGCTATGATAATTCTATAATGTCATCCTAGGTGGCATTTTAGAGGAAGCTCATTGGTTATTCTAGGTCTAGGATTTCTTTGTAAATGGGGTAAAAATGAGTGGCAATTGTAGTTTTATTTCTTGCATTAAAATTTTTTTTTTTGCTTGCATTTACATTTCTCTTTAGGCAACTCTTTCCATTTTCTTTTTAAAAGGCTGTTTTGGAGATTTTTCTTTACTTTTCTTGCACATTTTCTATTCAAGCACTTTATATTTTAAATTTTCTATGCAATTTACAGTTCTTTAAATGTTCTTTACAAATTTACATGCTATTTACTTCAAGTTCTTTTAATTTTACATTGACTACTTAAAGATGCTTGGTTGATTTCCTGCATTGCACAGCTTTGATTTCTCATTTGATCACTGTAATTTTCTTGCAATTTTTCTATAAAATTTGTATTGCATATTTGGAACTTGTTGATTTACAAACCAGGAAAATTTCATTACAAAATTTACATTACATTTTCCTTAATAAATCTTAGAAGTCTTGGTTGGTGTTACTAGCAAAAGAGAAGCAGCGATTGGTGCTACTATTGAGGCTTCTCTGGCAAGCTAGGCGATGGTCCACTCTTTTTCCTTCCTATTCCTTGTTAATTCTTGATTTTAGATGTTGTTTTACTTTTGCTTGCTTTTAATTAATGCATTTACTTATTGATTTCTTAGTTTAAATGTTATTTGGTTTTGTGTTCTCTATTTCAAGTTTTGATTTTAATTTAGTTCATTGAGTTTTCTTTTAATCATTTTAAGCTGATTTTTTCTTTAAATCTTGTATTTTACTTATTTGAATTCATGTCCTTAGTTTCTCTTAAGTTCATTTTTTTATTTTGAGCTTGGATCTAATTTTTTGTACAATGCACTTTCAAGTTCAATTTTGAAATTTCATTTTTGGTTTTGAATTGTTTTCATGCATTCATTTTAATTCCTTGTTAGATGTAGGTTATATTAATGTTCATTTACATGTTTTCTATCAATGTGCTTAGATCTTTGGTCATGTTCATCTTCGTTTATGCATTTTAATTTTCAGTTTTAATATTCTTACATGTAATTTTTTGTTTTCGCTCTTTTATGTTCAATTGCTTTAGTTTGAATTTTAATTCATTTTCATTTCAGTTGCAGCACATTTTATGCATTCTTTAATTATAGCATTACCTTTCTTTCTTTTAGATTAAATATAGTTTGAGATATTGTCTATTATCACTTAAATCTAGGTTGACCCCTAAATCAATCCTCAAGGGAACGATACTCAACTCATTACTCCTATTAGTTATTACTTGAATGTCCTGTGTACTTGAAATTTACACCCAATCAAATTTTTAGTGTCATTGCTGGGGATTTATTGCTAAACCTTAGGATTAATATCAATACCATAACATGCTCAACTATAGTTTAGTTCACACTTTAATTTATGTAGCTTTAATGTAGATAGATAGTGTAAATAGCTTTAGTACACACAGCTATTAAGTTTTTTTTTTCTCATATTTTACTTTACTTTCTATGTAAGGATTCAATACATATAAGGCCTAGTAAACTTTTCACCATGATTTTCTTATGCACTTTTTGGGAATTTTTACTGCAATTTCTTGATTTCTTGATTTACATTTCTGCAAATTTTCACTTTCAAATTCGTTCTATATTGCTTGCAATAATTTTTTGAATTTTTGGTTTTTGTTCTCTGCCTTCGGCATTGTCCTGTTCAGTTTTGGTTGTTGTTTTATTGCATTTCTTTTATATTTTGCATTCATTTTAGAATTTTATTTTAATTACATGTTCCTTTATGAGTTAATTAGCTTGAATCTAAGTTTGAGAGCTAAACACCGTAGGATTTTAGAGAAAACCGATAAATGAAGAGCATGAGTACAGAATTACGTTTTCAAGGAATTCTTGATGATTCGTGGCTTTTTGGTGATCTTTGAGGAAGGTTGGTGATTTTGAATCAAGCTTTAGGTAAGAAGGCGTAACTGATGATATTATTAGCCTCAGGTTATTTCCTTTCTCACTTGGGAATAGAGGTAAGAGTTAATTAACATCTATGCCACCAAATTCTATTACTACTTAAAATGATTTAGCATAGAAATTCTTGACCAAAATTTTCCGTCCAGCGAAGGCGGCCAATTTGAAGAATAAGATTACAAACTTTTTGCAAAATGATTTTGAGACCTTCTATCAGGCTTGGAAAATATACAAGGAGTTGTGAAAGATATGCCTAAAAAATGGTCTATTCACACCAAACGTGCGAGATATTATTTATTTTAATTAAAAAGTTTTAAAGTTTTATTTTATAAAAAATATCATTCAAATTTAGATTTAACTCTCTACATATATATCAATCTTTTATGAAAAATCTTGAAATGTAACTAAGTCAATTAGCTAGTTGATGTACTAACCTTTCACAGGATACTCTATCTAGTATCACTGAAACAATTCTAGGAAGGATGGTAAGGAGCCCTATAAAGCTATCAGCCTAAGATGCAGTAAAGGGCTAATTACTGACCTGATTAAGGTTATCCCTGATTAAATAAAAATTAATTATTAAATAATAAAAAATACTATCGGGTCAGGCCAACCCGGATATATTTAATCATTCCTCAACCATTCATATTGGCGTCCTAGTTCTCAGCTTTTGCAACTCGGGCAACCAACAGCACCCAACTGTCAATGTGGAGCGCATGGCAGCCAACCATCAACATAAAAGGTTTTTTGAAAATGAAAAATATATATGTTTCTTTTTCTTAACTCCTTTTTGTATTGATTGAGGGAAAGAGTCAAAGACTTAAAAGCCTCTATTTTGGACGTCCACACTATATAACAATGTTTCCAAAGTATGAACCTCTCCTGCAGTTTGCGATCCACTGATGAAGTAAAACACAATAATTTCAAACTGTCAAAAAGCTAAATCCAAAGCTATATTTGTTTAAACTTAAAATTAACATTCGATCAGTGTTTGCTTCCAAGGCTGAAAAAATAAAAACACATGAAATACCCGAAAAAAAAAAAAGAAAAAAAAAACACATGAAATAAGCATTATTGAGAAAGTAATGTGGGTGCCACACTATCAAACTAACAAATTACAATTATCTAACTGTTGTTTGTTATTTCTATGAATCTAAAGCTTCACAAATATGTCCAATATTTCTCTGTCAACCAAACAGATAAAATCGGATTATTTTCAGGCTTGAATGAGAGCAGAAGGATGTAAATAACAGAGCGCAAGCACCTCTTATCAAACAACTATCAAGGATTGGAAGCAAACTTGAGAGAATCAGAATTATTTATTTCACCAATTCTACTGGCATTCTCCTTTGAGGTGGATCCACTGTTCGAACATTTGCACCAATCATTCCTTCAATGCGATCCTTCGTTATCTCCACAAAATGACCCAATATTTCATGGAACTGCTTTAATCCTGACAGTGGGAGAATGATGGAAGACCGATCGGAACCTGCAACCTGCACTTGTTGAACCATCCTATTATCAACCTATTCCATGCCTACACCTTAATTCAGATTTTATTAAAAATATATATTAAAAAAAAAAATGAAGAGAAAGCAAGAGAAAATACTTCAGATATCCTCAAGAAGTGTCCTCTGTTGTTGCTCCCAAGATCAAAGAAAAATCTCTTCTGATCAGCTCTGATCACCTTTGACACCCCCATGTTACCAATTTCATCCTGCGCTGCCAATTCAACCGATCTGTCTGCATTCAGTTCAGAAATTGAAGCAGGCTGGCTGAGTCCAGATATGAAGCCAGCCCCTACATCATCTGAAAGCCCAACAAGACGTTCTGAAGGTTCAGAACTTTGCTGTTTCAGAAAACCCAAATAAACACAAAAACAACCAGATTGACAAATTAAATGAGACTCCGAAAAAATGAAGCTGATATATGACAACAGAGACTGGAAAGGAAGGCGCATAGGATTAGAGCACAAAGGTACCTGATTTGGCAATATGAAGAGCCTTGATGCCTCGTTGATCTCAGCCAATATGTTCCTGAATGCTGCCCACCCTTCATCCCTGGTACTTCCTGCAGGCACAATAATGGTACTTCGGTTTCTGCTGACAGATGCTTCAGATACCTTCAAAAGATAATTTTATTAGAGAAAGATTTTCTCAAAATGGTGAACTCTAACTTCTGTCTTTTCCCATCTTCCAAACAATTCAGAGTTAATGCAAAGAATCAAAGATAACATAAAAACACTACCAGCAAAAAAAGAAATTAAAGGCACTACATCGTAACAAACATGCACTTAAGCTTCATTCTCATAATTCTTTGCTCCAAATAATCGAACTTTTTGCATTATTTGTGTGTTCACAAGAACGCATGCATTGCGTGTGTGCATTTTTAAATGCATGCCTATGTTGTAGCATTATTCCAAAGAAATTACCATAACCACAAGATTTTACAAAATTTCCAAAACAATTTATGAGAATGATTTGATTGCTCTTTAGTTCAAATTCCTTCTTTCTTTAATGATGTTTGCAGGTTATTTATTTATTTTGGCCAAAACCTATTAACATTCAAGTTCAGAAACCTACGTTGATCCAGCTCTTCGTTTTCCTTTAAGTACCCATGCCTCACGCATATCCAACAGATAGCAATATGGAGACTGACCCTCTAAATGTAAGGAAAATTTTAGAAAAAATTTAGCATTCCTGCCTCGGACATGTACACATATCTGACACCCTTGAGTCACAATAACACAGACAGAAACAGCCTCAGTAAAGTAAGAACAAGGCTGTCCTCATTTTTTCACTTTCATGAAGCACCTAGAAGAAAACATATGAAAATAGATACCCATATTTCTTTCAAGTTACAGAAAGAATCAAGAAAATTTACCTATCAGCAACCAATCACAGCAAAGAGAAATTCATAACAATCTAGTTAGAAGAAAACATATGAAAATAGATACCCATATTTCTTTGAAGTTACAGAAAGAATCAAGAAAATTTACCTATCAGCAACCAATCGCAGCAAAGAGAAATTCATAACAATCTAGTACAATACCCTTCCCTAATTAACAATCTAAACTGCTGACCTCAACTTGGATGACTTTACCAAGACTGAACCTGAACATTCACTTTAACAAAATCCTCATTAACTCCAGTTTCCTACAATTGGCATTTCCCCACTTGTTGACCAAATAAAACTTCATAGGATTAACAAGAAACTTCTCCTCACAAACTGTAAGTACATATTTTGACATTTTCTTCATCAGCTTTCTCTTCTATGTTGTAAATTTCTTTCCCTAGCAAAGCTATGGATAGATAAGAACAAAAGAGAAGATACTTTCTTACCAATGTCATTAAAGCTATACTCAACTTTTGTCTAAGCCTCTCATGGGAATTTCTCACAGATAAGAATCATGGAATCACAAGTTCCAGCATCACAGAATCACAAGATTCCAGCAAGTTCCACAAAAGAAGGTGGTAAATACGCATTGCAAGGAGATCTTTTCATTGCACTGAAGGGATATCTATATGTTCTGATTGATTGCAGCAACAAGTTGCAGCGCTAACAGTAGATAATTCCCCCATGCAATTTGGAAACATGATGTCTCCTAAATTTTTCAGGCACCAGCAAATCTAGACTTGTATCATTTTTTTTATATAAGCATAATCCTTGGATTGATTTCATAAAAACTTTTATTGTGTGGAATCTAGATTTCCAACTTTTAATCGTTTCCATGGCATTGTTTGTCAAATTGGGGTTCCAAAAGGGTGCTAATTCTTTAGGAGTTTCCTAGAATAGTCTTTGGTGAATAATAAGTATATTCTAATTTTAATCATTTTAATGTCTTACAAAAAGTGATGCTTACTCCTATTTTCTGGAGAACCAGATAATTAAACTTTCTGTTTTCACAAGTTGTTGAGTCATGTAATAGCCACTCTACTTCCATTATGCAACAGTTGGTTTTAAAATGAGTACAAGGATATTCACCAATTGGTTGGTTGATCATAAATTTCATATCCAGTACATGAAGATTCCTAAAATGAATTGTATTCTACAAACTTGAACATTTATGAAAGTACAAGGCTCAACAAGGTAAGAGAAAATTCATCGTTACCGAGATTCAGAAAATTGTCAGCTACAATTACTGCTTTTTTCGACAATGATGCAAAGAACAGAAAACCTGATGTAAGTTCTAAATATGATTGGCAGAAAAAATATGTTTAAGTATAATTCGCTCTCATCCAGTTGCTTACAATTATCATTGAAAAAGTTGTTTCTCAAGCTGCAGAAGGGAAAAAGAAAAGCAACAGTTACGAAGAAATTCAATAGATTCAAAGAGAAAACATGTTAAGTGTAATTTGTTCCCAAATCGATTGCTTACAATTTCATCATTGAAATAGTTGTCCTCTATTTTATGAAGAAGGAAAAGCAGTGATCCCTCTGATTGAAAGGATTCCCTTTCCAAGGCTGCCCATCTCACTTTTGTTTAATTTTTGGCTCCTTTCTAGGATCAGTTGGGTCTTCTATGAATCTCTTTGAATTTATTATAGTTTTTTCATTAAAAGAAAAAAACCATTTTCTGAAATCTTAGGATAAAGGAAAGGAACTTGTATCAGGGCTGTTCGAAGGCATGTGAATCTACCTGTTCTTCCTTTAATATTTCAAGTCTGAAAATCAAGGAAGCTTGAGGCTGTCCAAGTCTAGGGTTTTGTTCAGCCTTTTACCTGTCTCCTTTATCAGGAAATATAAGCAAAAGCAATTAAAAACAACTGAAGTTTGTGCTTGGTTTTTTCTAGAAGTTTTGCTTGAAGCTAGGGCTTAAGATACAATTTTTTGCTAGAAAAAGGCAATCATCAAATAACAACCCATGGTGTGGGAAAATATTATTTAAAAAATAACAGGAAAAATGATAATCCCAACTGTCTATGGCTCAACCGGTTTATGATGACTATGAGAAGTTCACATCAAGACAAGTTAGACGAAGAACAATTTGAAGAGATGGACAGAGATTTATAGTTATCCTTTGATATGAAATAAATCTGAAGACAGTTCTGCTTTTGAGGTGTCTTGCTCATAGTAAGTTGAAATGTGGACAATCAATGTTTTGCCACCCTGTGTTTCAAGAGATGCCTTACTGAAGCTCTTAGGCCAAGAAGGCAAAAGGTAAATTGACCCGAAAGACCAACTCAGTTCACCCAAAAGTCTGCCTGAGCAATCCAAATATATAGGACAGAGGTCAACAACACCAAACTCAAGGTGTCTCAAAATGTACTGGCCTAGACCAGATCCAAACCCAATTATTATTTACTGACTAAGCAATGCGGTAAAAGTTTAGCCCAAAACAAATACCCATTCAGAACCCAAGATAGCCCAGAAAGAATTGACTCGAAGGCAAAAACCACAATTTTATCAACTAAAACCTGAAATGAACTAAGAATTCAAAAACAAAAATGCCTAAATCCAAACCTAACCCAACCAATCCAACTGTGAACTCTAATTAAAGGTAAAAACAGCAGAGTTTTAGAAGGATGAAACAAAAGTTAGAAGTTAAGCAATAATCAACAAGACAAAAGTCGATTAAAGATGCAAGCTTCAGGCAGCCAAAGTTCTTTCTTTCTTCTTCTTCCTTTTTTTTTTTTTGTTCTTGCCATCAAGTAGCCACAGTACTACAAATGAACGACAAAGCAAAACCAGGGAGCCAGAAACTAGATATCACCATCATTGTGCTCTGAATAAAGTTGTAAGTGCTAGCAAGAAAGATTGAGAGAATAAGCACCAAAGATCAGGCTTTGTAGACAAGAAATATTTAATTGGAGGAGCTAATACTATTGTTATGGATGGAAAATCCTGAGTTGCAACAAGCATTCACTTGAAGGTATGAAAAAAAAGCTGATCAAAGGTTCAGGTGGCCACATTTACTTTGAAGGAAATATAACGAAAATCATGGTGCTTGAAAATATGTATTAGGAGCTTCAAGGCAACATTATTGTTGTAAGGAAATAAAAGCATCAATTCATGCCAGAAGGCTGACAGAATCAAGCATGACATCTCAGACAAGAAATATTGAATTGAAGGAGCTGATATCATTCTCATAAAGGAACATTTGCAGTTGCCACAAACCTCTAAATTGAAGGTATGGAAAAGAAGCTTCATTAGCAAGAAACGAGGTAGCTGTCATGCAAAAAGGAATCAGCAATTTCAATGTTTCAAGGAGTGCTAAAATTGACTCACCTCCGCTAAAAGGTTTTGCATTGTAAAACTTATTAATGAATATGTAGGCTTATAGGTTCAGTTCAAACATGAAAAATGTTTTTAGAGTCTGCTCTCAACTTGTTGGAGATGTGCACCTATATATTAGGTGCCAATTCCCTCACAACTAGCTTTCAGCAAGTCATTCAAGTCAAGTCAAATTTTCTAGTTCATGGTTTTGCCCTTCCCCAGTACCAGCTAGTCCGGCAGTTCTTGTTCATCTATTCTCTTCTCTAGCCAAGAAGAAAAGGGAATTGGAGATTTTTAAGAAAGCCCACTACTACTCTTCAACTTGACGATGGGTGACCTGCAATCACTTAAGAGGAAAACATGGCAGCAGCAACTGTCTTTGACGAAAGAGAACAGATAACATTCACCATTCTGAATTCTAATAAGGAGAGGGCTCTTGATAGCCGCAATGGTCAACATTTACAATAGCTGGTTGAAGACCAATTTGAAAAGCGTGTAACAATCAAAGTGCTATCAAACCCGAACTTGACCTTAGTGCAGCTTCATGTGATCACCCTTAAAAGGTCGTATTCAGTAGGTGTGAAGTCAAAATCTAGCACCTGCAATCATTTTCCTTATCCAAGTTGTGGCCTCCTTTGTAAATAATAAAAAAAATGCTATCAAAGCTAAGGCTTGGTCTAATACCATCATAGCTAAGAATGCCATTCTCCAGCATTCTCCAATTGAAGAAGAGATCCAAGCCCCAAAACAAATTCTACTAAAACTGTACATCATATATAGGAAAGAGAAGATTGGAGCAAAATTTGGGCCTATATGTTATTCCATGAGAAAATCTTAACATCAAAAGAGAAAACAACAACAAAAGGCAGTTATTTGCTGTGGAATTTGATTATAGGAAAGAGAAAGAAAAGAGAAATAGAGGTGGTTGAGTGAATGTACCTTCAAGAAACGACCCCTCCGGTTCTCGCCAATGTCAAAGTAAAAGACTTTAGTGTCGAGCTGCAATTCCTTGCTGAAGAGGTCGCGGTCGTCGGGGTTGACGTAGTAATTGAAAAGATCGAGGAACCAAGAGATGCCAGAGGAAGGGACGATGATGGTGGACCTGGTAGCCGATGTCTTTTCGGAGATTTTCAGATAACGCCCGCGTGGGTTCTCCTTGAGATCGAAGTAGAACAGCTTGTGTTCTACCTGAAGTGTTTTGCAAACCAGCTCCACGTCGTTTCCTCCCCTTTCTCTTCCTCCTCCTCCTCCTCCTCCTCTGTCTGTTCCGCCGCTACTGCCTCCCCCTCCTCCTGAATTCCCTTCCATTTCCCTTTCTTTTTTTATTTTGGTTTTTACCAAAATTAAAAAAAAGAAATTGGTATACGCCTATCAGTAGGCTCAAACGTGGGATTAACTTGGCGCTAGTTGCTACCACCAAAGCCTACATCCGAATCCTGATGAATAATTAAAAGCAAAATCTTTATTAATTAATTAATTCCCTATTACTAGTTTCGATTACATTATCACTGGAAGGGATTTTAAATGAATTGTTAGGGTTTGGATTTGGATTTGGACTTTGGAAGAGGGATAACGATATCACATATCAATATATCATTCCATTATTGATTATTGACGATGATGGCGAAATTTGACCAACTACATCATTTTTTTTTCCTTGAAAACAAAATTATTTAAACCTTTTAGTAATTCTTTTTCCTATATCTATAAATCTTTAATAACTCTAAATATGACAGTAGTTGTACTTACTGTTAGGAAAAAAAAATTAACTGCTTTCTTTTTGGCCAACTAGATTAACCACCTTTATTATAGGTTAAGCCTCATACCGCTTTTTTTTTTTTTCTCCTTCTGTTAGCGGTTCAGTCCAATTTTGATCAATAAATTCAATTTTTACTCGTCAATTAGTCAAATGTACCGTACGAAATGCATCCTCCAAACCCCTCCCCTCCAAAAAAAAAAAAAAAAAAATCTGAAACGCGTGAGTTTTGATTTAGAACAAACGACCCACTTGGATATTTTATGCTCGAATTTTTTGAATTCAAGGCCTTTTGAAATTTGATAAGATTCGACTAAGCTTATATAGTCTTTTTATATTTTATGTAAATTGTGATTATTTTATTTGTTTTTTTTGAATTCAAAATTTTACGAATTCAAATTTTTGGCATTCAAATAATTTTTTATTTAAACTATTTTGATTTTTAATTTTTTTAAATTTGAACCTTTAATTTTTTTTATTTAAACTAAATTGTTGGAATTTAATCCTTCACAAGCTACATTATATATATATGTATATATGTGTGTGTATGTATGTGTGTAACTTATTACGTTCCTTAATATATATATATATATAATAAATATAAAGCTTGCAATCTTTTTGTTTGTGTCTCTGATCTTAAGATATTCTTGAAAAGACAGAAGAAAATGAAGGTTAGAGGCAAAGACAGGAAATATTTCCTACATTTGCACTCTAACGTGCAAATCAAAATAGATAAGGTCGAAAAAAGAATAGTAACGAGAACTAAGGGTAGAATGAACTTGCTTAATGGTGCCTAGACCTTCATATTTATAGATAAATGATAATAAATCATTCGGGGATAATAAAAATAATGTCGAGCTGATGTGACACTGAGTATGTCAAATCGACCTGACATATTGGTCGGTACAAAAATCAAAATTACCTCTATTCTTGTTAGAAAAATGGGGTCCAGCCCCATGTAAGTGGTTTTGAACCAAGTAAAGGCCATGGGACTTAATTTTTCATTTTACACAGAACCCTAGCTACTTAATAAAAAAGAGGTGGGATTGTTTTAAGGATGTGTCGAAAACTAAGTAGAGAAAGAAGAAAAGCTAGAAAAAGCAGAGAGAAAAAAAAAAGGGAGAGTTGGTCGAACGAAAGTCGATCCGTGATCCGATTGAGTTGGAGCCTTGTCAGGAGGTTTATGATTCAGAGTTCTACATTCTGAACGGTGAAGATCGGGTTTGAAGCTTTTTAGGAATAAATCCAAGGTGTATTTGTTGAGTCACTTATTTGGTGAGATTTCTTCAATTGTTTCTCTAGTTGTTGATTAGTTCTAGTTTTAGCTAGAGAAGAACCTTGTATATCTATTATTTGATAGTGAAGATTTTTCTAGTGGTTCATGGTTTTTTCTTTCTACACTGGGGGGTTTTTCATATAAATCTTGTTATGCTTTATTTTTCCTACATTTTTTTTATTGTTGATTGTTATCTATTGCTTCTGTATTGTTGTGATTATTACTTCAGGCTTAACAGTTGTCTGTTAAAGGCTTCTAACATGAAAAAAAATCACAATACCCTTTTGACCACTAAATGCCTCTAACATTTTGTTCTCCCATCCAGCAGTCTGAGTATCAGACTACTAAGTATACAATCGACACATTCCATGTAAGGCAGATAAGTAAAAGAAGATGACATGAAATTTAATTCCTCGTAACTGATGTCATAAAAGAGATTGGCATAAGGAGACAAGAAGCCTTAAGTCATGGTCTAATCTAGTGGGATTTTGATCTTATGCATATATCTTGTGTTGAGTGCATAGTCGACTCGAAAGTTGCTAAGACGTTAATTACTCAAAATGATCCAAAATTAATGTTGGAATTCATCTAGTCGACATGGGACTTGTGTTTTATTACTTGAGGAAGGATTCGAGTCTTTATTTTGAACTTTGACGACGAATCAAGTGTCTAGTTTATCTTAGGGAGTCGTTCAATTTGATTAGTATGACTTATGGTTCATTCAATTTGATCAGTCTAACAACATTAAATAAGGAAATAGGTGGTTTGAGTGAAAATTTAAAGAGGGAAGATGAAAAGGTGTCTTCCCATATTTGGTTTGACACATGACGTGGTTTGTGCCATTCATCAGATCTACGGCGTGGCTATATAAAGGGCTGTTAGGACTTTCATTTTCCACCTTTTTACTTTTTTTGCCTTCGGTTCGATTTGAATTGTTTGATCTTAAAAACCTTTTGGCCTTAAAGTTGTTTTTCTTATCGCTCATTTTTTTTTTGCTTTTTTTGGTATATATTTTCAATTATGTCTTCTAGTTTAAGTTCTGGAGAAGTTAGGAGTTTTAGGGTAAAACCTAGGGGAGGTTAGCTTGGGCAGGATAATAATGACTTGATTCCACCAATCATCAGAGGTTGTGATTGTCAGAGGATGGTCTTTTGGTTTAACCTGATGTCTAATGAAGGGCAGTAACAAAATGAGAACAATGCTCGGGCAAAAAGAGAATGAGTCTTGAGCACAGAAGAACTATGTGGTCAGATAGATTTTGAACTACAAAATCCATTTTTTTCTTATCTTTCAAGTTGATCCATCTTTTATGGCTAACCTTCCTTCATCTTTGGTTGTTTCCCCTTCTGGGTTTGGTCTCGACAGTTTTTTTTTATTTCTACTCTCTCACCTATTGATGCTCTGATTGTCATTTTCATTCCACTTTGTTAGTTTTTATTGATATTACTTTTTCTCTTAAAAGGCTTCCACCTTATCCTTCTTCCTTCGAAGTCATATTGCTCTCAGGCACGGTTTATTCTCAAAATCTTACTTTTGCTTACGAGTCAAAGTTTTTTAACGATGAAGATTCTAATGATGAGGAAGGTTCTGAGGAGAAAAAAAAGAAAAAGAGCACCATGGCTGGGGAAAGTGGTGATGAGGAGGATCCTATGGAATAGGATGAATTGGTCGAGATTCTTGTATACTCATTGTGACCTTGGTATGATCTCCAAGGACATGATGAAGAAACTAAAAGGCAGGGCTAATCTTGAAGACAGTCCTAACACATGTTCAATTCATCACATTTACGCTTTAAAGATGACTTATCTTTTTTCCAAAGAGGGTAAAACATATTAATGATGAACTCCTTAAATCGAGTTACTGATAAACTGTAGCCATATTAGCTGTATGTATATTAGGATTCATTCGTAGCTAGTTTGAAGTTTCCACTTCACTTTTTATTTATTTTAATTTTTAATTTTTAAAATTTGACTATCACTCAACTCACTCTTAACTCTATATAGTACATAGTAGACTTTATTATCATTTGTCAACATCTACACATTTTCCTACTCTCCATTTATTAAGGAATTTTTTTTCATTAAAAAGCAAAAAGTGATAAAAGGTGGCATTATGTAACAGCTCGACCTAGTAAAAAATTGTTTGCTGATTGCTTAAGCTTAATAAAGCATTGAAAATTACTTTTTCTTTGCCTTCAAAAACAAAAAATAAATAAAGATAGTGAGATCGAGGTTAGGGTCACTACTAAGGTTATGGCATTAGAGATAATAAATTAGCCCAACATTTTTATGGATACACTAGTAGCCCTTTTTGTTCTAGATCTAATAGATCGAGACAAAATAATAAAGTACACTCATAGGGGAGGCTTGTCATTAATGCCTACAGGCTTACCTCTCTTGAAATAATAAATAAGATAAAGTATTAGAGTATGTGTGAGGTAACTTCGTAGGATTTTATTTTAACTTAGATTTTATCAACTATTAGCTTAATTTTACAAAGATGTCTGCTAATGAAAGCTTTGAGTTCTCCCTATACCAGTATGCCCTCTAGCCTAAAAAGCCTCAAAAGAAGATTCAACTTGGGGCCTCTTCTCTAACGCTCCCTAATAGTTCAAAAAAAAAAGTCTTTAGCTCGTCGAGAGCTTTTCACAACACCTCTTGCCAAAATACCAAGGGTCAAGGTCTCTATTTCTACCTTGAAAAATCTTGAAATGAAGGTGTTAAGGCCCAGCTCAGAGATGATTTCCAAAAGGTTGGATTATACTTCTACCGACAACCTCATCGAAAACCTCGATATGGTGAGGAGGTTCTATAAAGTCACAATCCCTCCCCTTGGTAAGTACTATCTGACTTCAACTTGGTATTTTTGTTATTTTTCATTTTACTCAAGTTTGAGTTCATCCTATGTAGTCCAACAAAAGCTCCCATCTCAGCCCTAAAAAAACACTAGCCAGCCTTTTACCATGCCTGTCTGGCTATGACCCACCTAGTCAAGGTTGAAAAAGATGTGGCTACCCTAACTAAGAAGCACAAGAATAGCTCAAACGCCCTAGGCAATGTCAATTTAGCCATAGTGAGTCGTATAAGAAAGAAGTCGAGCAAAAAAGAAAAATGACTAGTTGACAACGAAATTGAAGGCTATCTTGCTTGAGAAAACCTTGATTAATTCTGTGAGAGAATAGGCTAAGCTTAAGCTCAATGATACTTAGTTGAGATAATGAGGTTGAAGTTTGAATTAAAGGCCACAAAGAGAGAAAAAATATGAAAAAGAAAGCTGTTGAGGACTTTAAGGCTTTTAGTGAATTCTTTCAGCTAAAAGTGGAGTTCTCCCGAGTCAACATGCTCGATGATTTTGATCTAGCGAAGGATGAAGTATAGTTTAAATTTTTTTACCTCAACCTTGATCTCTTTGATATTGATATCAATAATATCATATGGAGGCCTCCTTTAAGTCAGCCCGAGAAAGAGAAGAAAGAAGAAGAGGATGATGATAAGGCTTTGGACATTGAGCTTAAGGTAGCTTTGTGTCGATCACAGGTGGATGAGGCTAGAGAGGTTGAGGTCATTGTTGTTGTTCCTATTGATGAGGATGCTACTGTTGTCGCTGTTATTACTGATGTAGCTAACACATAATTCTTTTTACTTTTAAACTTT